CAGTTTATGATGCTGTGAGTGGCAGAAGACGATCAGGAAGATGGGCTGAGGCTCCCTGAAGATGAGGTAGAGCAGGGGACACATCATGGTTTCCTAACCCCATCCCGTTGGCGACGCTGGGTTCACCAGCCTGTGCCGAACCCGAGCATCTTTCTGGGAGAGAGCTGAAGGCACTGCAGTAGCATCGCCTCGGGCCGGAGAGCTGCCGTTGCCTGGCAGCTGCAGGTTTCCAGGGAAACCAGAGGTGCTAACTTGTTAATGAGCCCCACGTCCCTGATTGCTGCTGCAAAATAATAATAATTAGTAATGGGCCTGTGATTTAGGAATCCCTCAAACAGTGTGAGCCTGCCAAGGGGAGTTTGCGAAGTACCAAAGCACTTGAAAGAAATGAGGGGATAGGGAAGAAAGAAGGGTGTGGGGATTGGAAAAAGTGACATGTTTTACATCTTAGTAAGTGTCTGGAGAGCTGGGGTTGGGTGGGGTCCTGCCAGTGTCCCAGCAGTAAGCCTGGGGCTGGTGGCAGACCTGACCTGGATGCATGAAGAAGCCCTGGCCAGGCAGCATCTCACTGCAGGGCTCAGAAGGCACAAATATTTCCCCAGATGGACTGCAGGGGGAAAAGCCAGATCACTTAGCTCACTGCCACTGGGTCCTGGTGGAGATGGCAGTTCTTCGGGAATCACTGTTTTTAGATTACTGGGGACAAATGAGCAGGTGTTTCCTGAGGTGCTTATCCCTTGGTAAACTCAAGATGGAGGTACCACCAGAAGAGTGTGCTCCTGGAATGACCATCACAGAGAGTGTGCTGTAGATCCCCAGTCTCACATGATGGAAATGTGTTTGTGCAGTCAGAGCTGCTTCCCACAGCAGAGCTGTCCTGCCTGGGACAGTGAGGGGAGCATCTCCTCAGCTGGACTGCATGGGGAGGGTAGAGATCTCCAGGGCACAACTGCTAGCTTGGTGCAAGAAATGGGCATGCTGGTTAGTGAGGTTTGTGGTTGATGCAGAGACCTGCTGCTCTTCCAACTGATGTCTCCAGTAAAACAGAAACCAAATCTGTGCCCTTCCCTTCTCAGCTGGGGGCCTTGTGCAAGACGAGAAATTGAGGAAAGTCGCCTCCACTTGGTGATCTGTGTTGGGCCGACACAGGGAAGAGTTCCTGTGGCCTGGCGTGCCACATGGATAGACTCAGGCTGAGGTGTGTTTCAGGTTTTCTTGCTCTCTTGCCTGACCTGCCCAGAAGATGGTCACAGCCAGGTTGAATGCTTGCCCTTGGCCTGGCTTGCTGTGTGTATCTCTGTCACACTCATGACTCGTGCCCAGCACCCCTCACCTGACATGCACATTTGTGGAGGGGACACCAGGGACAGAGTCCCTGTGAGTGGGCAGTTGGCCCACTTGTGCTAAGCTCTGCAGGTCTTTCTGTCCCTCGGCTGCAGTGTGGCCTCTCCTGCTGGCTGTCCCCATTCAGCTAAGCTGTGTGCCCATCTCCTCATTACAGGCACTCCGGGAGAGGTGGGATTAAAGGATTAAGGGAGTGTTCTTCAGGAACACTCAAGAAGATTAAGATGGCTTTAATAAACTGATAAGTGAGGACACACAGCTATGTTTTTGAAACCCTAATTTAGGTTCCAGGTTAACCTTTTCCCCTGGTCTCCTCTCACTATGGTGAGAAGATCTCTTACTTTAGCAGTGCTCCATGTAGTACCTCTTCCTTCAGTTTTCCTTCTGAGCCATCTGAGCAGAAGCATAAAGAGATCTTTCCTCCTTCTCTGGTAGTCTTCCCAGGCAGGGCAATGTTACAGCTCATCTGAGAGACCATCTCACATACAGCCTGCAAGGTACTGTGAAGGTCTCAAAGCCTCTGCTGGTACCTGGAGTACCTCTTAGCTGGGAATGAACTCACCACCCCTCAGTCTGGCTTCAAAATGTCCCATGGTTGCTGCCAGAGAAGTTGCTTGTCTGCCTTTGACCTGGCTGAACATACACAGAGAAGTCTTGGTTCTAACGCCAAGGTTACAGCTCCCTATGACTGCACTCAGTTGGCCAACTCTGTCCCCTGTAAAGGCTCCTGAAAGGAGAGGCAGAACGGACTATCCTTGCCCTTCCTTCCCCCCTCTCTCTTGGATGGAGCTGGGAGTGGAACCTGTTTGACGTGTCACACATGTCTGCCACTAGATCCACCTGGGCATGCTGGAGTGGTTGTTCTGTACGAGAGGGGCTATTGGCTGACCTGGGAAACCTTGTCTGTCTTCTCCAATCTCTTCCACCCGGGCTTCTGGTCATCTGCCAGAACTTCATGCAGGCCTTTTCTGCTTGGACTTCTCTCAGAGTGGTAAAGCAATCAGGATCTGTTCTCTTTCCCAGACCCCTCTGTTTGCATCTGAGACCCCCAAAGTTTACCCATTTCTCATTGTCTGGAGATCGGATATCGTGTTATCTCCAGAGGAACTGTGCAATGTTGGCTCACTCCTTCTTCCCACTTGAGTCCTTCACTCTCATCCCTCTGCCACAGTATTATCGCAGTCTTTTTTGTCAGTCGACTCTTTCTATTCCCTTTTTATTTCTTGGATGTAATTGTAAGAGCCAAAAGGAATTCACAGCCTGGTGTCCTGATTGGGAAGGGAGGCAGAAAGTGATTTGGGGAGTGGGGTGTGAAAGGAAGACGAAGGGGAAAAGCTGGCTAATTTGCATCCTTTCTGAGTGCCCTGGCTCTATAGCCAAGGTACAGCAGGGGGTCTTCTGGCAAGGCGGTAGCGACGTAATGAGGTGTGTCATATCCCAGCAGGAGCCAGCCTCGCTCCCCCTCAGACCCCCTAATTAGAACTGTTTCAATTTTTAAGCCCCCTGAGGAGTTCTGGGGGGAGCAGGGTTCTTGCCGTGGGGGGACTGCCCGGCGCCCACTGAGGGGGCAGCTCTAATTGGAGTCGCCACGAGGAGCCGCAGAACGATACGTGGGGCCAGGGACAGCAATGCCATAGTGCTGCAGGGTTGCCAAAATGCTTTGTGCCAGGAGGGGCCATCACTAATGCAGCTTTTAGGGGATTTTTTCCCTCCCATAATTTGTATTAACACATTGGCAGAGGCAGCAGGGGTGTGAGACAAAGGGCAGAAAAGCATTGCACGTCCTAGCGTGGCTTTGTACTGGGAGCTTGGATCCTTAGGCTGAAGCCTGGGACATCTACTGCTACTTTGGGAGGCAGGCCTGGTAGCGCAGGGAAGTTTGGGCTTTTAATGCTGTCATGAGCCAGAGCAAATGCTGAAATCTGCATCCTCATGTTCTGTGGCTTTCCATCCTTTTTCTACAAGCTGGCTATGTCCTCCAGGTTTGGTGACTGGTAACTGAGGTCCCTGTCATGTCACCCAGTAGTGTGTCCAACTCAAGCATCTGGTTTGTGTCTTGAGCTACCATTGCAGTAGGTGCCTACACTACAGAGGCTTCAGCTGTAGGAGCTAACTTCTGGCTTACTTGGATCAGGGTGACTCATAAGCCTCCTCTAGTCTATGGACCAAATCCTGATCTTGCAGAAGTCAATGAAAGTCTTTACGCTGGCCTTTTCAGGCACGTTATTCATAGTCCTCCTAATTCAGATGCATTAAAGCTTCCACGAAACAGCTTGTGGGTTCTCTCTAAAACACCGTCTGGCAGGAACAAGAGGAGCCTGGTAGTAACCCAGGCTTATTTTCTGAATGACTGCAGCGGCATTAAAACCTAATACCATTAAAACATGCCTGCAATGACGTGTTCCATTAAAACCTAAGAAGACACTTTGAGCTGAATGCTCCCCAGCGTGCCTATTGCTCTTGCAGACCCCGTGGGGTCCTTCCCCATGGAGGAAGCTTGTTCTTCTGATAGCAGTTCAGAGAGCACCAGACTCGACCCCCTCTCAGCTCCTAAGATGGAAACACAGTGTATTTGTATACAGGATCCCCCCATATATGAACCCCCTTTCTAAGTCTGCACAAGTTAGATGCTGCAAAGCAGTAGGCTCTTTGGGGCCATCTCAGTCTGAGTATAGCTTCCCAGGCCCTCTGTCCTAATGCCTGGGCTGTTCCTTGAAGATGGGAGTAAAGGTCAACTTGACTTCTTGTCTTCCAAGAGAGGTCATCTTCTCTTGACTTGCCAGGAGGCAAGCTGGCAAAGATACCCATGAGCAGGCTCTGATAAACAGGCAGGTGAAATCCAGTGTGAAGTGATGGACATGAGTGAGCAAACCTGATTTGGTGATGTGTCTGATGGGCCCTGAACTGGCTTTTATCATGCAGCAGCAGAACCTTAGAGCTGAGCTAAGCTGCTTCTGTGAAACCATTAGCTCTGTGCTTGGCAGAGGTCAGAAAAAGCAAATTGAGTGCAAGGAGCCATTGGGCTGGGAACAGGGAAAGGAGGTGACATCTTACCCCGTGCAGGTCCCTAGTGTGCCTGCCTCTCAAACATGGCATGGGGTGGCTGGCCAGGGTGGCAAAGGATATCTGTGCAAGAGGCAGCTCTGTAGATGCTTTGACCTGCAAGGCTCCTAAATGAGGTCTAGATGTGGTAAGAACTGTGGGGAAGGTGATTAGGAAGCAGGCATATGTGGCCTTTTCTGGTGCAAGTAGTAAGGGTCACCCAGAGGAGCCATCAGTTAGCAGATTTAGAGCAAACCAGGGGAAGGACTTCTTCAGTGTAGCTGACAAACTATTCTACTCCCTGCCCCTGGCCACTGTGCCTGTTAAATTAAAAGCCGACATGGCCTCAAAAAGCAATTAGACAAATTCATGGAAGAAAGTTCCACTGAGGGCTATTAAATACAAAGAGAAAACCTTTGGTTTGGGCAGCTCTGGAGCCACAGATGCCCTCAGGCTGGGAGAACATATTTAGAAAGTGTGGATTGTTACACTCTTAGGCTCTTCTGAAGACATCTTCAGAAGGCCAAGCCCTTGGGGACTTGGCCCAAGGTAAATGTCATCCTGCCCAGCTGACCAGTTGTCATCTCCTTCTTCTCTTTCCAGGTTCAGCACAATGAGTTGGCACTCTGCGTGTTAACAGTGTGGGGACACTAGGACAGGAGCTGCCCTGCTCATCCTTTACCCCTCGCTCATTCCCCTTTGGGGAGACGGGTGCTGGCGTCCCTGCCCTGCCCTTCCACCCCTTGCCCCCCACTTGCCATAGAGGGGACAGGCCCGTTATGGCTGGGGACAGGCTCCCACGCAAGGTGATGGACCCCAAGAAGCTGGCCAGCCTCCTGAGGAACGGAGCGGAGGGCACCCTGGTCATCGACAGCCGCTCCTTCGTGGAGTACAACTCCTGGCACGTCCTCAGCTCCGTCAACATCTGCTGCTCCAAGCTCGTTAAGAGGAGGCTCCAGCAGGACAAGGTCTCCATCACGGAGCTCATCCAGCCTGCCTCCAAGATGAAGGTAAAGGATCTGACCCTCACCTTTCCTAGTGGATGCTCACATCCTCTTCCATGGTGGCATTCAGGCTGGCCTAAGGGCCACCTGATACATGCATCCTCCTCCTCCTCCATCCCTTGACCCCAGTATCTGCCACCATCTCTGTGACACCCTTTGGAGAGCTGGAGCATGAGCTCATGTGGCCACAGGGCTGTCCTCAGGGACCTGAGCCACTGACGTGGCTCCCTGCTCCAGGACAAGCAAGTCTAACAGGTATATCGGCCTTAGGACTTGTCTTATGCCAGCAAACAACCCCCTAAAGCCTTCCCAGAGCTGTAAGCTTAATCCCCTGCTAAAAACTCTTCCCCTCCCCTCTGTCATCTCTAACTCCATTCAGGGACATGTAATCCTCCTCCCCTGTGACGCCAGAAGCTCTTATCCAGTGTCATGGCATATTATCTCTCCCAGGCTCCTCTCTCTATCGCTCCTGGCTAAATAATAGAGGTGGCTCTAAGCCACGGAGCTGGGCTGGAGTCCCGACCAGAACAGTGCCGGGTCCCCCTATGGTGCCATGGGCTGGGCCCTGCTCTGCACTGAGGTGCTGCCGGAGGGCTGCGCCGCTGGGTGCCGAGATGCTGCTGGAGAGCTGCGGCGGTGGGTACCGCGCTGGCTGCGGGACGAGCTGGAGGGTGGTTCACCATCCAAAGGGTGGTTTACCATCGCAGCCCGCCCTCCTGCCGGTTCGCTCTTACCGTTCCCCCCCTCCTGCCTTGTAATTTTATGGCAAAGCGAGGGTAATTCAGGCGATTAATCAAATGCTCGGCCCAGCTGGAGCCATCTGCGTCGTGTCCCCCCCCCCCCGCCACCCCGAAGAGCCACCGCTGCCCGCATTGGCTGCGGGTGACATCACCCCTTCGGGATCAAGGGGACTGGCAGCGCGGGGGGGCCAGCCTCGCGCCAATCTGCTTCGGTGATGCTCTGGGCTGGGCGATTTGGAGGGGATTGCAGAGACTGATTCCTGAACGGCTTTAGCTGCTCTTAAATCCCCGGGAGAATAAAGCAGAATAATCAGTTTTTCGCCAGCTCTGAGGAGAGCGGTGCGGCCGCCCTCCTCCCGGCGAGGGTCACCTCTGCAGTGGCCGCCGTCACGTGGAGCGGCAGCAGCAGCGGCAGCAAAAGCGATGCGCAAGGGGGAGGAAGAAGAGGAGGAGGATGATAGGGAAGGGGGAAGCATGGAAGAGTTAACATCAACTGATGCCATCCGCAGCTTTCCAGCTGCAGAGGAGCAGTGGCTCCCAAAGGAGCTGGCTGGTCCTTCCTGGCATTCCCTGCTCTGTCCCCATGGAAGGAGCATGGAAGGATCACCTCCTTCTGCTCCTGGATCATAATGGTTCACGTACTGGCTCGGGACATGATTATAATCAGGGATGACAGGGAGACAGAGGAGAGGCGATGCCACCGTTTTCAATTCATGGGTTTTTCCTTTTTTCCTTTCTTTTCGATACGGCTTAAATCCCTCCTGGCACATCCACGGGAGGAGGCAGAGTGTGCCACTCTGCACAGCCCCTGCCATGCTCACCGCTTGCATGTTGGCTCTCCCAGCACACGCAGCACAGGAATTAATTAAGCTTCAGGACACCCTTGAGAGGTTAAGCCACTTGTCCTGGGAAGCTGGAGAGGAGAACCACGGTGGGAGGGGATCATTTTGTATTCTCATCTGGCATAAAGCAGGAGTGGTAGCAGGAGTGGTAGCTGTGACTCAGGGTATCCAAGCCTTTATGTGCATGCATTTGTGTGTTTGCATGAACTTCTCTTCCCATTTCAGCCACTCGGGTCATGGTTTTGGGACCCACAGAAATCAATATGGTCTGCTGCTTCGACGTGCACAGACCCTCCTCAGAAGGGGCCGCTGAAAGCTGGTTTAGACCTCCAATACCTTGTGTCATTTCCCTGCCTCCACTGCCATCGCTGGCCAACACCCCCCAGCCCTGCTCTGCCCCGGGCTCCGCGCACC